TACTTTCGGACCGCGAAACCACAACCCTGGTTATATTCGGACCACAGCCTTATTGGGGTTGACTGACCAGCATGGTCCCGCTATTCAACTGACTGACTAACATTACTGTTATTTATAATGTTATACTTATATAATATGTATAACGATTTTCAGCTTAGTAAATTCGTTCATTACCCAAGTTATATCGACACCTTCAACAAGACACCCTAAGGTCCTTGTCCCATGTTTCGCTTGACTGACCGCGGTATGTTTATGTACCATCGTCACCAAAAGTAACTGGGACAGCATCATATTAGCTTTTGTACTATTATATGAATTTTATTGTCAAATATTTGTCAAACCATGAATCAAATGCATAGAAATGAATGACAGTAAAACTAGTCCGGGAGATTATTATGCATTATTTTTGTCCCAGATACTTTTGGTGACGGTGGTACATTCGTGAGCACAAAAAGTAGGACACCCGTTTTTTCCTATTGTAAAACGGGCTCACCAGCTATACCTAGAACGCATTCGAAATCACCCTGGGCGTTACACCGAGTGCACACCAGCCATGAATATTTCATAGCTGGTGTGCACTCGGTGTGACGCCTAGGGTGATTTCGAACGCACCCCTAAGGCAATGACAGGGATTGTCATATTTGACAAAAAATCGATTGTAGAGAAAAGACTGATTTACGCAAATTAGCGAAAAATGACAAAACCTGTCAGTCGGATGTCCCACTTTTTGTGCTCATGACTGTATGTAAATACTGTAATCAACTGTCCAAAAACTAGCTTTAGTAAATTCAGAGAATTTTTTCGGCGCTGGCAACAAACTTGAATAAAACCAAGAGAATAATTTTGCCTTTTTTTTTTTCTTGAGTGGTATTCGGCTATGGACTAGAGGTGGGCCAACCTGCACGTGACTGCTCCAGTCGTGTCACGGTGATAAATAGCAATGAATTTTTGGAACAGTTTAACCTTGATTGGCCATGCTGGTAATACATATTATAAATGCCGCATTAAATAATCGCAGTCCGCCCAGTTCGCAGTCACGGAGAGAGGTGTTCCAGTTTGCCCTCTGCAGTGGCAGTTTCTGTTTGGCGTCACCGCGATGCGATTTACAATAATATTTCCTTATTTGCATCACTTTGACTTGAGTTTAGTCCGCGCTGCATCTGCATCGGTGAAGCAGTGACAAAGTCACAGTTCGTGGAATCGCAACCCACCTCTGAAACTGAGTACTTGAAGTACATCTCCTTCTTTGTTTCACTCATTTATAACCGCATTTGTTGTTTTTGCAAACGTATCCTACCTTATGTCCTTCTTTGTCTTACTAAAAATACAGTTAAATTGACATTAAAAATGAAATTTGTTTATTGGAAAAAGAGGAAAAAACATTCTATTTGAGATTGTAAATGTGGCAACGTTATTTTTGATCAAGTAGGCCTTGTAATGTAATGTCATTTGCCACTTTTGACAGCCGAGTGTTTTTATCCAGCTTTTCCTTGAATTTTCCGGTTTTTCAAGGATTTTTCAATCAAAAAAACTTTTGTTTAAAGTACGAGGCTTTGAGTTTCCTTCATTTTCTGACAAAAATTTCCAGTTTTCCAACGAGGTAAGTGACCAGAACCTTGGTTTGATCAAGTAGGCTTTAGAATGTTGGTTTTCCATTGAATTTTCTACTTTTCCAAGGCTTCTTTAATCGGAGAAAGACTGTTTTGAGTGCGGGGCTTTAAATTTGCTTCAATTTTTCAGGAAAAAATTTCCATTTTTGGACTAAAATACTATACTACTTTATCTCTCTCTTTGTCTTACTCACTATCAAATTATTAGTCGGCCATTTTAAAGTGTCGTGATTACATTTTTATTCAGGTTTTTCTCGAATCTTCACTTTTCCAGGGTTTTTTAGTCACTGGCGTAGCCAGGATTTTTTCTTGGGGGGGGGGGCAAATTTGTAGGAAGTTTTTTTTGTGGGTCCACCGCGAACACTGCCGGAGGCAGAGCGCCGCAGGCGCGAAATTTTTGGGTGCCACGCCCCTTTTTTAGGTCTCTTCAAGGTATTTTTGGGACTGTTTATTTTAATTTTGAAGAATTATTATAAAATTTGAAGGTCTTTGGGGGGGGGGGCAAGTGCCCCCTTGCCCCCCCCTGGCTACGCCAGTGTTTTTAGTCGAAAAAACTGGTTTAAAGTACGAGGCTTCGAGTTTTCTCCATTTTCTGCTAGAAATTTCCAGTTTTAGATCCATTAATTTACGGTCAAAAGGTAAGTGACAACAAATTATTGAAAAGTAAGTTTTTGAGGCCGTATTCAAGGAATTTCTAATTTTAAAATCGTTATTAATTAATTATTTAACGGGTTTTTAATTATTAAATTACAAGTAAAATCCCATTTTAAATTATTTTTTTTGGAAGTTTTGTGATGTGGCAACACCGCTTGCAGCCAACTTCAAGTAGACCTTGTAATAAATGTCATTTGCCATTTTTAACAGTCGGCCATTTTCAATTGACGAGTTTACATTTTTATCCAGTTTTTCATCGAATCTTCCGCTTTTCCAGGCCCTTTTCAATCGGGAAAATTGATTTAAAGTTTGAGGCTTTGAGTTTTCTCCATTTTCCACCAAAAATTTCCAGTTTTCCAATGGAGTAAGTGACCAAAACTTTGATTTTTCAAGTAGGCTTTGGAATGTTGGTTTTTCATTGAATTTTCTACTTTTGCATGGATTTTTCAATTAGAAAAAGATGATTTTAAAGGCGGGGCTTTGAATTTGCTTCATTTTTTCACCAAAAACTTCTATTTTTAGACTTAAATTGTTTCCTACTTTATTTCCCTCTTTGTCTTATTTACTATTAAGCAGGCCTTGGAATGTAATTTTTATTGAAATTTATTAAAGATAAGATTCCAATGCATTATTATCGGAATTTATCATTTCATAAACATTCATAATTATTTATTTAAACAAAAAACTATTTAAAATGTAATTTTTTCTTATTTGAGATGTGGCAACGTCGCACAATTTTATTACCCAGTTTTGACAGTCGGTCATTTTTGAATGTTTTTATCCAGTTTTTCCTCGAATTTTCCGCTTTTCCATGCCGTTTTCAATTGGGAAAACCGATTGATAAGACGATACTTTGAATTTTCTTCATTTTTTGCCAAAAATTTCCAGTTTCCCAATGGGGTAAGTGAAAAAAACTCAAGTTTTATTAAGTAGACTCTGGATTGTCATTTTTACGGGATTTTCTTTGGATTTTCCGCTTTTCCAGTGCTTTTTTGATCGGGAAAACCGATTTTGAGTACGAGGCTTTCAGTTTTCTTCTTTTTCATCCAAAAATTTCTAGTTTTAAATAATAGAATAAGGGGTAAATAAGGTTTTTCTGCCTCTTTCAAGAAAAGTGACCACTTGAATTACATCCTACTTTATCTCTTTCCTTGTCCTACTCAGAGAGTGTTAGAGCTACATTGCCCTTAAAAAACACTAAATTTAGCAGAAAAAACGGGGCTCCAAATCAAAAAAAAGGGGGCTCTCAAAACAAAAAACAAACAAACGCCATTTTGAATTAATTGTCAAAAATTACAAGGCCTACTTTAACTTTGACATATCAAATTTTTTGACGTTTGCGTCAGGGTTGCTGCAATTTTTGTGCCAGGGTTGCTACATTTTCTGTCCCTGTGGGCCGATTTTTCATTATCGAGTCACCTCCGGGTTGGTTTTAAATAGAGGTGGGCCAACCTGCAATTTTACTGGAACTATGACAAGACGTGACTGCTCCAGTCGTGTCACGGTAACAAAATAGCAGTGACTTGACTGGCCGTGCTGGTAATACATATAATAGTACATTTCATAATCGCAGTTCGCCCAGTTCACAGTCACGGCCGAGAGAAATGTTCCCGTCTGCCCTCTGCAGTAGCAGTTTCTGTTTTGCGTCACCGCAATGTGATTTATAATAATATTTTATTATTTGCATCACTTTAAGTTGAGTTTAGTCCGCGCTGTATCGATTAGAGATCGAAGAGGCCGTGACAAAATGTCACTGCTACTTGAGTGGGACTGGAGCAGGCCGTGACTGTGACAGACGAGTAACAGTGACAAAGTCACAGTTCGTGAAATCGCAACTCACCTCTACTATGGACTATTTCACGAGAAAAACAAGCCAAATTTTCATTTGGAAAATTTATTTTGTTTTCGTGATACTTGTCAAACTGACTAGTTTTTTACTCTACTCTTACCCATAGAATACTCTAACCACACAAAATTTTGTCGCTGAAAAACCATCACGTTGGTTTTGTCCAGGGGCCTTATTCTGTAAGGAACGAACCGTTCGATTCGGTAGAATTTCTTCGATTGTGGCGTCATTTTCGGTTTGGTTTTCGCGCTACCAAACCGAAAATGACGTCACAATCGTTCGTTCCTAGAATAAGGCCCGAGGTAGGAGTTTTGTCACTAGGAAACCGGCCGTTCCTTTGACATTTTGCCTGTGTAAAAGACTCTAGTGCAAAAGGAATGTTCACTATTTTTCAATTGTAATAAAAAGTGGTGGTTTTAGGTCCACAAAACACGTATTAAGGCCGGGACACATCTATCATGCATTGTTCAGGGCTGTGATTGTTCCGATCCGACTCAGATCATACAATCAAGGTCCTTATTCTTGGAACAGGGGAGCAGCGGAACACTCGTTCTCCTGGGAACGTTGCTTTCTGTTCCAAGAATAAAAACCCTGATTGTATGATCGGAGTCGGATCGAAAGAATGCATGATAGATGTGTCCCGGCCCTTAAGCGTTAAAACATCTAGAAACCCTTTATTTTTTCTGATAAATCGAAAACAAAAAAACGAAATTAGCGAGGCTAGCAAAAAATCTTTAAAAAAAAAAATAGACTTTAGTCTATTCTATATTCTGGTTGATTCTGGACGAATCAATAAAAATGTCAAAAATATACGGCCTTAAGAGAAGAACAGAAATAGGTTAAACTAAGGGTTGATGAAATAACTAACAAGACCATTTTAATTCGCTTTTATTTCTTATGCCTTAAAATATAACAATAATTAATGATCTCCAAATAAAAAATATATTCACTCAGAAAAAAACAATAAAAATTGTATACTTTCTAATATATGGATCAACTTTAGTCAGTTCTTTCATTCGTTTTCGGAAGACAAATAAACAGTTTAATCCTGAATAACATTGGTAAAAAAATTTCAACAATTTTTTTTGCTGAATAAAAATTTATTCAATTAAATTGGAGAACAAAAAAAAAAAAAAACAATCACAGTATAACCAAGGGTGTAACCCTATTCTAATGTATAAATAAACTATAAATTCGTTAACATATAATAAATATTATTCTTCTTATAATAAAAGTTAATAAATAATAAATTTTTCTGTTTTTAAAAACAAAAAATACAATTTCTGTCAGTTTTTTATAGTGCCATTCTGCTAATTTTCATTGTGTGTTTCGAAAAATACCCACTTAAAAAAAAAATAATAATAACCTATAAAATGTTCCAAATGAAACTGCATCTTGCTAGTCAAAATAGAAATCTAACAATTGAGAGTGTGATGAATTTAGTCAGAATATTTTCCATATGGAAAAGTCACAGTAGTACAAGCGGTAAGTCTAAAATTCACTGCCATGAGGTTGTATGGCTTTTAGACACTGCCAGAATATGCAATGCGTTTGATTGTGCGTTGTAAGACAATTGGAGAGAAAAGTTCCTTTGAATTCGATACTTACAGAGCACAATCACACTTATTGCATATTCCAGATGGATTCATTCCATCTGGAAAATATTCTGATAGAAATTGAATCATAAAAAAAAATTAACAAAGTAAACACAATTCCAACAAGACATTCCCTAATGCCACAAAAATTAATAAACCAAATTCTCATTCGTAAAAATAAAACTTAAATCAAAATACCAATACCATCAAACTGTGATTCGTATTGGAACATACCTGCCTAACTTTCATTTCAGGGCAGTCTGTGTCCATTGATGCTCTGTTTTGGTTCCAATCAAAGCAGTTTTACAGTTTAGTTGGAACCGAAACAACATCTAATTTGTGTCTCAATTTTGTACAATGCTAGTATTTTTTGTCAAATATTACTTAACACCATTAGTACCACGATATTGTTTAATGGCTTTCCAAATTCTTAAGCCGGAAGCCCCTAATAATCCAAGTCCCCTTATTTCTTCTCTGGTAAAGTCATGCAATACTTCTTCCAAAGTATATCCACGTAACAAAACCTTAAACATTTTTTTTGTCAACTTGTTACATGATGTGATTTTCTAATTTTACCTTTTTTTGAGAGGCTTCACTTATTCCCAAACCTTTAAGCCAATGGGCAAGCCTGGGATCTTCTTCTTCTTCCTGTGCTTCTGGTGGCGGTTGGATACTTATTCGTAAAGTGGTTTCTTGTAGCAACGATTTCAGCGACTCTATTTGTTGCTTATAAGCTTCTTGCAATTCTTTAATCTATGAAATTGAAGACCTATTAGTACAGGGACTTGACCTATTAGTACAGGGACTTTACCTATTGCGTGCAAGAAAATTATTGTGTGACTTATTGGCGAGCGATTTTTGATATTTAGATACTTATAACTTTTAAGCCAACTACAAAATCCCCAAATGATTCCTGCTACATAATGTTGATAAAAGGCCGTCAAAGTTCTTTTATCTTAAAATCTCGCTTAAAATAAACTAGGGAGAAGTAATTGAAAAGCTTTCAGGAATTATATCAATCCAAGTAAAGAGATTGGATCTTCCATCTACAAAGCAATGGCTAGTTTGAACTGTGAACTTGTTGATCAATGCTATAATAGCACTTTCACAAAAATAATCAGAAAGAAAGTGTGTTGAAATTTTGAATTTGAATTAAGGCATAGTTAAATACATTGTTCAACACTTTTTTAGCAATAATATTGTTCCCAATTTGAATTGAGCTGAGAGAGAGAAAAAGTGAAATAAAAATCATCACTTAGTACATTGACTAACACTTTAAATACGAGAAAAGCTTCATATTTGCATAGAATATTCAAACTGGATTATTCGAAACCATTAAAAAAATCATAGTTTCAGAAAAGAAATTAATGTAACCTTTCTACAAGCTTTTGTGAACTTCTCAAACCACTTTCTTGCAGAATTTATTCAAGAAGTTATTAACTAGCAACAATTCTTTTTTATTAGTTCTTACTCCTAGCAGGAAACACCATACCAACTACAACAAGAATTATTATAGCAAAGCAAAAATTCCTTACCATTTTTGAAAAATTCTCCGAACAATCATGACAAGTTCTTGTATGTTCGCCAGCTTTGAGATGTGCCAAAGACGGATGTCCTATTTCAAAACTATCATTAGTCTTGCTGGATTTTGTAGTGTCCACAGAGCCTTGGGCTGCGAGATTTTCACTTAGCTCAGGTGTCAGTACCGTCATAGCAGCTTGAACGCAAGAACGTACTAAATGATCCAATGCAAACATCCAGTGGGGTTTTATGGGGTGAAGTCGCAGGATTTCGTTAACAGATTCCTGATATAAGTATATGGCAAACTGTAGCTGGTTGATAGAGGCATAGTCGTAATCTAGTTCTTCTTTGAGCTGCTTTATTGTTGATTCAACGATACTTAAAGATGGGTCTGTCACGTATGACTTCAAAGCCTCCATTAGCCTGAATAATAGGAAGTTAGATACATTGTAAATTGAAATTGATAGTCATACTTGTGCAAATGTTGGGGAGTCAAAACAGTTTCGCCTAAATACTTGTCTCTAACTTTTTGCATCCAGAGGTCGCATATTTTAGTCCCATCATTAGCCAGTACTTTGGACAATGTGGTTCTGCGCTGAGAATCTTTTTTGAGAAGATAAAAACCGTCCGTTTCCGTTCCTAAAATGAGATAATGATTCAGAGATGACAAAAACTTATACTCTTTACTAACCTAAATCTGCTTCTGGTGATAAAAGCGTACCGGAAGAATTTCGTCTCTCCAAACCAGAATCGCCACAATCTAAAGATGGAGTTGATGCCAAGCTGAATCGAAAAGGAGTTATGATATATTATTAGTATCAATGAAAAGTGAACTTGAACCTTCTAAGAAAGTACACACATAACATCGCGTAGATGTACGTGAAAACGCACGGCTTGCAAATTAGTAAGCTTCAGGCGTTACGCGTTACTACATTCTTAGGAGGTTGTGGAAATGATATCCTATACATATCACATATCTTGCAAAAAATATTCCCCAACGTATTTGTGTGTTTATCAAACACAACACTCGTTTGTAAAGGAATACTTTCCGCGCTAGTTTAATGGTAAAGTAATATACTAACAGACAAAGATGAGAAAGTTCCAAATATCAAATTGAACTGTGTTAAAGTAAAACTAAACAAAAGCACCTGCAGAAGCAGAATATGTACCTTCCAAAGTTGATATCAGTGACAGTAGGCATTTGGATTGGTGGCAGGAGTGAGGCAGTTCTGGAATAGTGATGGCTAGAACTAACAAACAGGTATTAGCCATACAACAAAGGCACAAGAAAGCGTTAATTCTAAATTATACAGTAATAATAATAATAATATGAAATATTTATTTAGTAAGCATTTAAATGATTGCTATTATTGCCCATAATAATAAAGTTTGCTAACATTCGCATTAGGTGTACCTCATATCCATTAGAAGCACATAAACTGCTACTCTGACTTTTTCCTCAACTAACCTAACGGCCAATTTCATGATAGAGAATTAAAAGTTACTTTAGCTAAATAGACTTTTAGGATAGGATTCTTCAACTTCAAATGGAGCTTTAAATCTAAAGTTTACTTACTTACTTACTTACTTTACGAACTACTTTAAATCACAATGGGAAAACATTGTATAACGGCAATTGAGCTTATACCCTGTCAAAATGATCACTAAAATTACTCATAATATGACGTTTGAAAATATACTAAAGTTGATGTGAGTCCAACCAGTATGATAGGAGCATTGCATTCATTAGTATAGTTACGGCCAATTTCATAATCAACTTAAAGTAAACTTTAGATTTAAAGCTCCATTTGAAGTTGAGGAATCCTATCCTAAAAGTCTATAAGCTCAATTGCCGTGCCGTTATACAATGTTTTCCCATTGTGATTTAAAGTAGTTCGTTGATTTTTAACTGACACTTTCCGTACGAGGAGCGAGGGGGTGTTTCATATGGCAAAAACAGGTGTGACGTCAGGTAACCATTGGCGTTTTAATGTAGGATGCCACCAGGCTCACATTCCTTTGGAGTATCAGATTAAAATGGGCGGACTTTACATATAGGTATCCTATTCACAATCCGATGTCCACAGGTACAGGTAAATTTATCACCTTTCCCTATCAAATAGCATTGAAAGGTGATACATTTTACCTGTACCTATCAACATCGGATTGTGAATGGATAATAGATTTAAGGTAGTTCACCTGCACAGGGTGTCCGAATTTGGATGGTTTTAATAGGAAATATCAATTTCTGAGCAAGATACAAAAAAATGAACCCCCCACTCCGGGCTCAAATTTCTTAAAATTTTGATTGGTACAAACCGCATTTTGATATCTTCAACCGTTAAGCCGCTAGAGGGCGGTTCTCGATTTTGAGCAATAATGTGAAACCATCATAACTTTTTTGTTTATGAAAATTATTGATTTCCGTAAAAACTTTCTAGAACCTTTTTTTCAAGCAGAATTCAGTGACGTTCTCAGTTTTTTTCTAGTTGGTCCCAACTCCGAGATATTGACCAAAGTCTGGTTTTTTTCAATAGGACACTCTATATATTAATAGCTCATTAGAAAGCTCGGTTTCTTCTGATTTCAATGATATAAAGTTCGATAGGTTTATCTCTAATAGTTTTCGAGAAAAAAAATTATTTCGGTTTTTGTCATAAGAAGCAATGTGTAAGAAAAGAACTATATATCTATAAGGAAACTGAGAAAGGTCTTTTTCTAACTCATTGTTTCTTATGACAGAAACCGAAACAGTTTTATTTCTCGAAAACTGTTAGAGATAAACCTATCGAAATTTGTATCATTGAAACCAGCAAAAGCAGAGCTTTCTAATAAGCTATTATATAATAGGGTGTCCCATTGAAAAATTCGGATTTTGGTCAATATCTTGAAATCCAGGCCCAATAGAAAAAAACTGAAAACGTCACTGAATTCTGCTTGAAAAAGTGCTTCTAGGAAGTTTTTGCGGAAGTCAGTTATTTTTATAAACAAAAAAGTTATGAAGATTTCACAGTATTGCTCAAAATCGAGAATCGCCCTCTAGCGGCTAAACGGTTGAAGATATCAAAATGCGGTTTGCACCAATCAAAGTTTCAAGAAATTTGAGCCTCGGAGTGGGGGGTTCATTTTTTTGTATTTCGCTCAGAAATTGACGTTTCCTATTAAAACCATCCAAATTCGGACACCCTGTACATATAGGTGCTTATAAAGGTACTAATACTAATCATCATCGCCTAAGATAAAAACAACAAGATACTCCGAGCAAGAACTCTATGACAAGCAGGAGGCGGAGTTAAGTCTAGTGATGGGTTGCCAAGTATAATTAAAAGCCAGGACTCGCAGGACTTCATACCCGCGTTATAAAAAATAAATAAATATTCTACGACTAAATATGGCATTTTAGTAGTGGGGGAGTTTGGTCAGGATAGAAAGAATCAGACATGTTGTCAACATATATTTTTGTTTATAAATCCGTCGTTGTCAACATATATTTTTGTTTATAAATCCGTCGATCAGTCTATCTGTGGTTGTAGATCATTGGTAATTTCTGAGATACAGGGTGACAAAGTTATAAAAAACTAGCTGACCCGGCGAACTTCGTACCGCCTCTGAATTATTAAATGCTATTAAATGTTGTATTAACGTATCTATTTGCTGAATTGAATTCAGTTTTTTTCGATGGTGAATTTGGCTTTGGTTGAAGAAAATTATTGTTTACTCTCTGGATCAGAAGTCACCTAAAATTAAAATTTTACATTATCCTTTTTTTTTCAACGTTGACAGTACCAGCATGTTGTTATGTCATGTCATTAATTTAATTAAATTAAGTTTAAAAAAAATGTGATAAATGAAGAACCGCTCGACCGATTTTGTGCAAACTTCACATAAACCATCTAATAAATAGTCCGAACAAAGCCTAAACATTTGGTTTGGCTAGGTGAGCCCGTTCTTGAGTTATAAAATTACAACGAAAAGTGGCATTAATTTTTATATACAGTGAGTTCATCAAGTCCCGCATAAATTCATTATTTTGAAAACGGTAGAATTTTTGAAAAATCGCTCGGACACGTCAATTTTGTTTTTTTGTTTGAAATTTTTCGATATATTTTTTATCATACAGGGTGTCTCAAAAATAGCTTTGCTGGTATCAATTTTATTTTTTCAAATGGTACCCCCTGTATATTATGGCATTTCTGGTTTTGCGGAAAATTCTAGACATATTTCATGTACATACAATGTCATATACCTATCTTCAACTGTTTCGGAAATATTGACAGTTGACTTTTTCGCATCTTTGACAGACTGTAAAACCTGAACGGTTGATTTTACAACAAAATCGATAATACATTTTTATCTTAGTTTTCCATAAACTATCATTTCACACCAACTTTGAAGTTAATCCATGATTAAAAATTCCGGTTAAATTTAATCTCCGGTTTAATTCAAAATTGGTGTCAAATGATAGTTTATGAAAATCTAAGATAGGAATGTAAAATCGGTTTTCCTCCAAAATTAACCGTTCAGGTTTTACAGTCTGTCAAAGTTGCAAAAAGGTCAATTTTCAACTTTCAGTATTTCCGAAACAATTGAAGATACGTATATGACATTATACATGAAATATGTCTGGGATTTTCCACAGAATCCAGAAATGTCATAATATACAGGGGGTACTATTTAAAAAAATAAAGTTGATACCAGCGAAGCTATTTTGGAGACACCCTGTATGATGAAAAATATATCGAAAAATTTCAAACAAAAAAACAAGATTGACGTATATGAGCGATTTTTCCAAAATATTTCAGTTTTCAAAATAATGAATTTATGCGGGACTTTATGAACTCACTGTATATATAGATAGAAGATTTCCCAAAAGTTTCCCATATGCTGCGAACTTAAGTGGACACACTGTATATTAAAATATTTAGGTGCATATTTGGATCCGAAGTACGTCAGCTTTTTATTAAGGACAAACGAGACAGAGAATTGCAGGGTTATATCGAAAGGCTATTTGAGTTTTGAGTACAACAAAAAAATAAGAAAAGCCAAATGAAGAAGCTTCAGACTTCGGAGAATCCATCGCAGAAAGTCCAGTAGCAGCCAGGCTATACAAAATCCTGCAAGGTAGGGTGTAACTAGTGCACGGACCATGTACAGGGTGCTGCAATTTGGAGTGTTTTAACAGGAAAAACATACCCTGCGTTTTTATTCTCATCAAATTTTACCGATGGATCCACCATTCTATGGCCGTCATTGTCATTTTCCATTCACTAAACAAAGACAGCTAATTCATCGGTGAAGTCACCGATGAGAATAAAAACGAGAGGATACTTCCAGACCAGATACAGGAAAATTGACTTCAATCAATCAATCAATCAATTCTTTATTGTTTAAAAAGAATATACATTCTTATAACAGTAGGTTCTGCACAATAATAAACTTAATCTAAGTAATGCTACATTTCTCATACTTATAAGCTACACGTTTAGATATGTAAACCCAAATTTGAAATTGAAAAAGAACAAAAAATAATACTCTATATTAATTCAGGTACGAGGAGAATAGGAAGATAAAATTAAAATCTAAAGAATAGGTCTATTCATTTCTTAAGAACGATCTAAGTTTAAGAATACTAGTAACGGTTTGGAAAATAACCCTCACCAGTTGAGGGTTTAGATTGTCCAAATTATGAGCAAAATTCGGTATATCACCCCAATCTGCCGGCCTAACACTACGATATAAAGGACATTCAAAGAGAACGTGAAGAAATGTTTCAGGCACTCTTAGGTTACAAACCGAACAGAGTTCTTCTTGATTAATTCTATAAGCTATGCCATTCCAGAATATATTGCAGTTATAACTCGAACAAAGTCGTATTTGTGTAATAACTCTGATCATGTAAAAAGCACAGTCAGAATAAAGGTACTTCAACGAATGCTTATTTAAATCAAATTGACTATAAAACAAAGTATACGTAGAATTTCGTGCCACTCGATAGTCGGTCTGCAAACATCTTTCACGAAGATGTTTTAATATCTCTGGTTTACTACGTTTTAAAGAAATGTTATTTAAAGACCACAAGTGGGTTATTCCGATTTCTTGAAACCATCTGTAAAAGTTGTAAGCCCAATTAAACTTAGGGGAGGCATTACCACCAAATAAATTGAGCTGGCGATTTAGACAAATTTTGGGCAACCTGTGATTCTCCATGCCTAATAGTTTAATAAAATAGTTTAGCGTTGACTTGAACACG